CGCGTATGGGAAATTACTTATCCTCTTTTTTGATAGAAGGGAAATTATTTTATAAACATAATACAACCCAAATTCCCCGTATCTAATAAAATGGTAAAATTTTTATGCTTCAGAAACGAATTTAAAAAATTATAATATTTCCATTTAATATGTATTTAAAAAACAATTAATTATATAAATTATTAAATTAATATGTGACAATCATATATAAATCTATTTGTAAAATTAAAAAATATCACCTCTGTGTATATATAAAATAATATAATTCATATTTTTTTTAATTCATGTAATACGTGTTGAAGATTATGATACATAATTGATATGTCTTTTTTAACTTAATCAAGAAAATGAAATCCACTAAACCCTAAGTTTCCCCATCACATTCTTATGTATTTAAGATTACTAAAATCGAGTAATAACAATTAGGATTGAAATTCTCCCCCTTTGAATGTCACTATGCATAACTTGTTGAACTTAAATAGGAGCAAATTAGTGTCTTAATACTTGTATTAATAGGGTTAGGTTTCTGCAATTTAAGGCAATTAAAGCCTCTTAATTATTCGGTTCCTTTTCTTAATTTTATATGATACATGCATGCTTAAGTTGATATTATTTTATCTTTAGGCATGAAATTAATCAAATTCATGCATGTTACACAAATTATAGGTAAATACCCCTATTTCAACTACAAGAATTTATCTATTTATCAATTTGGGATTAACTCATTGAATTTGAGATATGATCAATCTCGATGCATGAATTAATTGTACTTTAATAATTAACATATGGGGCACGAATTTGATATCATTCTATCCATCTAAAATTTCAAATGTCTTAAATTTATGAAATTTTAATTATCGGAGTTATGTTAGGAACATGAATTTGTGAGAGTGGATATTTTGATCTGATTTGTTATGGGTCATCTAGAAATTAATTAAGACTTAATATATTTATATATTTGAAAGAGTATACGAAGATAAATTTCAAATTTATTAATTTTTATAAATATTTAGTAAAATAATAATAATTAAAAATCATATTTACTATATACTTTATCATACAATTTACAAAAAAATTTAAATATATATTTGAAAAACTAATTATTAATTTAATTCGTCAAAAATCAAAAAAAGAAGTCAAAGACATTCAACTTTAGGTTATAATACATGTATGACTTTAATGTCACCTTAGTAGGTATATACATAATTTTATCAATATTGCAGTTGATTTTGTCACTTTTTTTAATTAAAAATTTATTTTTCTAGAAAAGTTCTAAGTGCCGATTTTCTTATCGAAGTTGATTTTGTCACTTTTTATATATATATAAAATATTTCTTATAAAGTTATAAATGATAAATTTTTAATTTCATACATAATCTATACCTTTACCATATATATAAAACATTCAAACTAAGATATTTGTTGGCTTTAAATCCAAAGAAAGAAAAGTTGTTCTTCCTTTTTTGAGATGTGCGGGAAGGGATGAAGCATGTGGATTATTGTTTTTTCTGTTGATAATGACAAGGATTGCCGGTTCCTAATCACTTTTTTAGGACTATAATATATAGAGACAAACCACATGATAACAAAATAATAATGAAAATGTGGTCCGACTTCTATAAAGTACAATTAAGCCGTGCCCCATTTTGATCGGAGCTACCATTATATATATATATATATGAGAATTAAAATTACTTTGTCAATAAATTTTTAAATTCTATCTTTGAAGAAAATTTAGAAATTTTAATTTAACTTGAGGATTATTGTTGGTGGAATCGATGAATTATGGGTAATTGGAGAGATGTATAAAAAATTAGATTAATTATATATTCGACATTTAAAATACATTGAAATATTTATCAATTAGTATTTAAAAAATATTGTAATTAAGTATTTGAATTATGATATTTGTTCATTAATTTGCACTTTTGAGTTCGTTAATCAAATCGATAATATATTAAAAAATAATCACGTGCTTAAAAAATCCAAGACATTTTTAAAAGAAATTCAAAGTTTTTTATATTTTATATTAAAAAAATCATAAAAATAATCTTTTTTTAAAAAATTGACCTGTATGGAGAGAGAAAATGGATCGAGAAAGTCAAGGGAGGAGAAAAAAGAGCGGAAAGGGAGAGGCGGCTCGACAACAATTTATTTATAATTTAGGTACTAAAAATGTAATTAATTTTTATTAATTCATCATTGCCCATCTCGACAAATGAATAAAGGAATAAAATAAAATTCCTTAAACCTTTTGCTCTAGAAAAAAAAAATAATTAAGGGTCATTCAATTCTTTTATAGGAGCGGTCCCTTTGAAGAAACTATGGGATAAGCCAAATTGGAATTGGTTGCCTTTTATTTTTTTTTTAAAGTCAAAGGAAAATATATTTGTCAATAATGAAAGTTCCCTCTCCTTTCTTCCTGCAAGAATTTCAATTCATAGTTGAATTTTAAGGAGAAATTATTTATTTGAAAATTAATTTGTAATATTTTATATATTGAAGACCTTTCCCTATCTAAAACCTTTCAAATATTTTTAGTCTGAACTTCATTTAAACAAAGATCCATTAAAATGTTTTCGATAAAGTAAAGCTTTGAAGAAGGGTGTGTATTAATAAATTTTTATTTTTAGTACTATGATTCAAATTTAAAATTTTTATGTAAATATATATTATTTTATATTTATCTATAATTAATCCGAACGGCTGAACGATAAATTTAGATTAATTTATATTTCGATTTGGATTTCTTTAGCAGCAAAGGACCAAAATATTCACTTCTTATATTTATTTTTCACATGATAAATTAATGTAACAAAAACTCAACTATTTTTATAGTTTTGGGTACTTTACATATAAACATAGGAGAGCTAGTTAGGTACCTATATCCCTAGCAAAACTAGTAATTAATTCCCATCACTCTATCTTCACCCACATCCCTGAACTTGGTATACCAGCATGCAGCACAAACAACAGATAGTATCCCGGTGGAGCAATCTCTGCCGTCGACGGCCCGACCATGCTTAAACCGTAAGCACAGGGCGCCGGCGGAAGAAGGGTTGTCACACCAACAATCTTCAACACTACCATCCTTTGATTCATTGCAAAAGAATGTGTTGTGAATGATGGTGCAACAATCCTCACAGACAAAACACTAGCTGTTAGATAATCTTTCACACTAAAACTCAGCCAGAAGGACTTGCCATACTTTATTTTCTCATCTAAGGACAAAATTTGAGGCCTGATTGGATCATACTCTGGGGATAAGTATGGTGGCGAAAAAGATTCCAGGCTTAAATCAGTAGGGAACTCAACGTTTGTGAAGTTGTAGAAAACATGGGGGTTGCTGCCACCAACTAGTATACGCCCATCGGTTAATAGTGCGGCTGATGAATGGTACAATCTTGGTCTCGCAGATGGTGACAACACTGAGAAACGCCAGTCAGGGCCGTCGTTGGACGGGCGGTAAATGATCGGCCTGGTGACCGGACCACGGCCTAATTCCCATCCAGCGGTACCCATTTCTGCGCCGTTGATTATCATCACGTCGCCGGACGGCAAAAGTATCATGTCACCCATGACTCGAGGCACTGGCATGTCTTCCATGACCCAACTAGGGTTTGCATGGGAAACCTTGAGCCTCCCGCATGTGGATGTTGCACGTATGAAATTCCCTTGCGTGGCTTGCGTAAATGAACCCTTCGGTGCACCTCCGCACACCATGATTTCGGGTTCGATGGCCTCGTTTTGATCATCCAAAGGGAGCAAAACAGATGATCCTGAGCTAGGGTAATTTCGTGGATCGCCACCAGGTATCTGAGGGAACTCTTTCACTACTCTGTTTTGATTATAATCAAGCAATATTGATCTCGTGTTAGCGAAAATGAACAAGTTTCCATCTGGAAGAAGGTGCAAAAATGGATACAAATTGTTCTCCATTTGATAATCGTTTGTCTCTCTCAAAAAATTCAGCCCAAAGATATGATCAGTACTTGAACCTGAGGACTTGCCTTCAATATTTTGAGGATAAAACTCATAATTGAACTGTCGTCTCCCACCAACAATTATTATTCGACCATCTGGTAAAATTTGGTTACTAGCATACCATCTTCGTTGCAGTAAAGACTGCGGGAACTCAATCCAATCGCAGTATTCATCGGTACAAGGAGTGAAAGTTCGAATATTGCGATCACCATCATTGTAGCCACCGGTTTGAACAAGAGTTCCATTAGGGAGAACTGCACCAGAAGAGCACCAAGTATCAGTTTGAACCATCAAGGGACGAAATGCATTGGTGCTGATATCATATAGGATTGAGTGAGCCGTGCAGTCAGTTTGAAGCACAGTGTCGGAAGGATCAATCCGGCAAAGGCCACTGGGGAGGGAAAGATTGGAAGGGCCAAAATCAGTGCGGTCAAAGATGATAACCTTGTTGTTATGCAAAAGTTGCATATGCATGGCAGATATCCCCACACTTGCATGTAATAGCTGCCATGCACCTTGGCGGCCGGCGGGGTTCAATGGAGGGACTTGGGATGTTACTAGGGAGAAGAAATAGGAAAATGAGAGTGAACAGAGAAGGGATTTGATCATGTTGGTGGCTATTAGGTGAAGGAAATAGAGAGGAGGGGATTTGGTTGAAGTTGCTGGTGTGAGGGAGAGGAGGGAGTTGGTTTAGAGTGAAGTTGATCAAGAGATGAACTATATTTTAACTAATTTTGATGATCATACAATAAGGAGAGGAGTTAGGGATGAATCATAATCTTCGGTATAAAGGTTGCACTTCTTGAGTGTATTTTAACTTCAAGAAATAAGATAGTAATAGCATGCCTATCATCCTGGCCAAAATAGGGTTCATCTGCTTAGTAAGTTCAGAAAATGTAGGCCAGGAAAGTTATAATCAGTCGAGTCATCAGTATGCCCAAATTCATACTAAATTTCACTCAATGGTCTTTAACCCAATTCAGGAACATGTGGAGAAATAAAAGGGGTTATGTAGGTTTGAGACTTAATAAGTTCTCAAATTGGGGTGAAAACAAAATCCAATCCAAAAAATCATATCCACTTGAACTGGTAATAAGGCATCGGTAACCTTCTTTCAATATGATATTAAAAATGAATTACAAAAACTAATAATTAGCACACCAAAAATGTCTTGAAAAACATTTATATATACCACCAAACAGGGGGGTACTTGAAGATACAGCCTAATTCCTTCTTCCCTTGTTTCTTCTGGAAGAGACTACCACCCAACCGTCTGCTGCTTCAGCTGCCTGGTTTGGCCTTGGCTCATCAGTTGGCATACTGACTGGATTCAAACTTGAATGAGAGTTTGGAACATCGACCATCATGTTTGTTTCAGCATCCATGCTATCGCCTTCTTCATTGTCATCATCCTCATCTTCCTCAGTAGACTAACATAAAATATGGATGCATAAGAAGAAAATTAATAAGGAAACCATTTCAACTCCTAAATCTTCATCTACAATAATTTGGTAATATTTAATACATAGTTAGCAAGGAATCCACCAGGTAAGAATAAAATGACCATAGTTTCTGTAACTTTTCTCCATGTAAAAAACGAGATTATGAAAACAGTATGCGCAGCCTTTTTAATAGTTCTACAATCCAATCGGAGTTACAATTTTATGAGATGTCATAAAGAACATTTTTCCTTGGCGTCCAGTATAAACCATTCCATTTCAGATTAATACGATCCATTATAAGGAAGAAAGCTAATGTTTCTATTCACATCTGCAACAATTTTAAGGAGTACTCTGCCTTTTCTTTGTGTTTGTTGGAACCTTTTGAACAGCAAAATATCAACGGAAAGAGGATTGGAAGATGCAGAGTTGAAGGAAACCCCAAAAGCATGAAGTATGGATAATGTTTTTTTCTCCCTTTTCCCCCCATTTTATTAATTTTCTATCAAGTTTACAATTACATAATATCCTAGCCTTCCTACTGAGTATAACTGAACCACACAAGGATAAAATAACCAGAGCTCACGAATAAAACCGAAAGTGAAAGATGGTGATTTACTTGCTTAAAGGCTCAGACGCTAATTGGTATCTCACACCCTATAAGAGTTTCTTACACCACCTGAGAATTCTTTTTCATATGATTTGTAATGCAACTTTTGTATCGTGCCAATGTAGCAACTAAGCATCAAAAACAAAAACCCAAAGAAGCAAGGTAAAGCAGGAAGAAAAATCCAACAGAGACAGTAGCACATGGTACATTATATTCATCAAGAAACATATTAATAGGCATAAAGGGTTTAAACAAGAAATTACCGGTCTGACATGAGCAACTGGCGGAGGATTAGTTGTCCTCAGTTTTTCAACAGACTGATAATTACCTTCCAAACATTCTTCATGCATAATCATTAACTTCTCTGCCACCTGCAAAGAGTCAAAGAAATTGAATTATCTCTCATGTAGCAAAAAATAGCAGAAATCCGCACCTTTCAAAAATATATCCAATACTAACTACTATGTTACATGTACTCTAATCCCAGTGTTGGACACAGGTATGTCATGCTTTTAGTAATTAACTAAATTAATTTAAACCGTTCAAGACGTGTCGGACATGGTTATGCACATTCAATGACAATTAAAAATTGCATGATAAACAAATGCAACTACACATAACAATGAAAATAATGATACAAACGGTTCAAAATGTTATTAAACTTAATTTAGACACTAAATTTGAACCTAAAATGTTGATTACGTCTCGAATATTCACAAATCTATACAACAAATACTCTCCTTTATGTTTACATTTCCATCCGAAAAAAGAAAAGGAGCATTCATGCTCCATTTTTTTATCAAATTACAGTGAATCAATGCAATTAGGTTGATGGCTAAGGCACAATTTACAGAATTTTTACGAAATTCACCACAATTAGACTACCTAAAATAAAGATTGAATTGAAGTAAATATCCTCAAGTGAAGGCAAGATAAAAATGGAAAATTGAAAATACCTCCTCAATGCTGCCATCATCAACATCTGTATTAAGACTAAGCAAGCCTTCATGGAGAATATTCTCTAAATCATCTATATAAAGCGGCTCAGCTGAGAAATTAAAAATCAAAATAAAAGAATCAAATTTAATTCAAACAACATTTCGAAAATAATAAAAAAAAAGAGACTAATTTCTAAATATAGATAAAAATTAAAAGGTGACCTCTTTTGGTATCGGTGAAGAAGGAGATGACGTCGGAGTAGAGAATGTTGGCTTTGCCCCGGGAGTCACGGCCGCCCCACTCGTTTTCGACGGCGGCGGTGAGAGCCCACCATCGCGAGAGGATTAAGCCTATTCCTTCTTGGCATATGAGAGTTGATTCCGCTGTTAGTTTTTTTGTTTCCATTGATTTCTATCTTCCTTTCTCCGTTTGTCTTTGAGCCTTGTATCCGCGCGTGTGTCTAAGAACTGAAAACTAAAACCCTAAGATTTTATGTGAACGAAGAGGGCTTGTTTGGGCTTGAGGATAGAAATGTCCGAGTTATGGATAAGCTTCGTGCGGGGTTAACTTCTCTTTTTCAAATATTTATGAAAAATTAATGTCAAATAAATTTTTTTATAAATAATAATAAAAAAATAATTTTAAATTGTAAAAAATAATAAATAATAATAAATCAAATATAATTATTTTAAAGTACAGATACATTTTTAAAGAATTTTTTGAGTGTTTCAATTTTATTAAAATTTTCATATTATAAAGTATCAATTGTGTTTTTTTTTTACTTTTAAAATATAAATTAATTCATTAAAATGATATATTTGATTTTTTATTTTTTTATTATTTTAGGATTATTATAATTTTAATCATTTATGATCACATGTTCCCTTTCACAAATTTGTTTTCTTTCTCTCTCATTTGATAGCCCATCTCTCTCCCTTTTAACCCTAATCTCTTCTTTTCCCTAAACCTTATGAATTCTCTTAAAATTGATAAAGCCTCATTTTCTTCCCATTTTTTTTAATTTTTATCTTTTGCTTTTTTGTTTTTTTTTCAATTATTTTTGTATTTGTAATTTTTAAGTTTCTTCAATGATTTTGTTATTAACGATTTATAATTTTTATTTAGATTAATAATGTTGGTTGATTTTTTTTGTTAATCGTTGTTTTGACTCTAAATAGTAATATATATATATAAATATCGTGTTAAAATATGAAAAATGATTTTAAGATTGGATTTAAGATTTTAACCTAAGCCTAACTCAAAAATTAAAAGTCCTTTTATTAATTTTTTGCATTATCTATTTTTTATTTTTATTATTAAAATTAGTAATATAAGTAAATAATATAAAAAAGCAACAATGATATTATATATAATTATTAAATAATCTAAAGTATAATGAATCTTACTTAAATATACTTTTTATACTTAACATCTATCTTTGGTATTTTAATATGTTTGAAAGGTATTTTCAACTTTTCAATTTTTTTTTTCTCTTCTTCGTCACCTCACTCCTTTCGCTCATCTCATGTTTAAACAGGTCGGTAATATTACGGTCATTGTACATATTTTATAGAATATTACAATATTATTGATGTTGTAATGTACTTGTAAGAATATATATTCTCTTTGTCTTATTTTTTCATTTAGTTTTCTTTTTGAGATATTTTAAAATGAATTTTTTAATATTTTAAACACTTAATACTATTTTTTTATATTACAAATTTAATTTTAATTTTTATATTAAAAATTAAATGATTAATTATAATTTTTAAAAATTTTAATATAAATTCGATAAAATTTTATAAATGAATATCACTTGGAAGTATTTTTATTTGGAAAGGACATTAATACTTCTTTGGCCATCCAACGGCTCAGAGGGTCAGACCAAGTCCTCTTATATCTATGGGAAAACACCATTTGTCTATCTTCCCAAACTTGAATACCCAAAATCGCACCACCTGTGCTTTCCGACACCCAAACCGTCTCTCTATTTCCCAGCCGCGTTTCACTCCCGAAACAAACGTGTCCAAGTCTTGCATGTTTCATGCACGTATAAAAATCAAATTCTTTCTGAAACAACTCTCGTAACCCTAAAAGCATAAAAAGTATAGATTAAATCGTTAACGAAATGAGCCAGCAACAGCCTGAGAAGCTACAAGAACCGATCAAATACGGGGATGTGTTCCCCGCACAAGGTGAGAAAGCGGAGATGCCGGTGGCGCCTAAGGATGCAGCCATGATGCAGACGGCGGAGAACGCCATGCTTGGCCACAACCCCAAGGGTTATGCAGCTTCAGCCATGCAGTCTGCTGCGATGCAGAATGAGGGTGCTGGATTTGTATGCCACGAAGATCTCAACGCTGAATCCGGTGTTACGATTAAAGAGACAGAACTTCCAGGAAAACGTGTGATCACAGAGTCCGTTGGTGATGAGGTCAGTTGCAGCCGTTGGATTAATAAAGGGGTTTTTCATCATACTAATGTCTTTCTTATTACAAAGTTAGCTACATATTTAGGATTAATTTTGTGCATGTGCCAAGCAGGTTGTCGGACAATATGGCCAGGCAGCTCCATTTTCTTCTGGGCAATTCTCCGCTTCTCAACAGGGTAGCAGTACTGGTGATGCAATAACCATCGGTGAAGCACTTGAAGCCACCGCCCTTACAGCCGGAAAGAAGCCGGTGGAATGGAGTGATGCTGCTGCAATTCAGGCGGCGGAAGTGAGAGCCACGGGTCGTACCTCCATAATGCCTGGTGGCGTCGCCGCTGCTGCTCAGTCAGCTGCCACCCTCAACGCTAGGGCAACTAGAGACGAGGACAAGACCAAATTGGGTGATATTCTCTCAGTAAGTAGTACTTTTAATCGTTCCTAGTGGAAGATGCATTGCAAATACATAAAACGGTGATTATAACTATAACTTATGCTCTTATTCCCTTTTGCAGAATGCAACGGCAAAGTTACCTTCGGATAAGCCAGCAACACGGAGAGATGCAGAAGGGGTGACGGGTGCAGAGATGAGGAATGACCCTAACCTGACCACACATCCGGCAGGCGTGGCAGCTTCTGTGGCTGCAGCTGCTAGGCTCAACCAGAGTCATAAATGAAACCTATATTATAGCACCATGTACATGTAACTACGAACTTTGCCAGGCTTTGCTTTCATTGCTTGAGTTTGAGTTGTTGAATCTGCTATGAGCGTTCAATCTCTGTACTCACTTTCTTGAAATTGAAATAAAATAACTTGGTGAAACTCGAGAGGTTGCTCTAGAGTTCAGACTCTTTCTTCCCATTTCTCGGGCTTCCTTCAGGATCCTGAACGTGGCAGGCAGGGTATCAATTGAAAGAATTGATATTAGCACTTCCAGGTTCAAATCATAAAGGGACACTTTCTTGCAGATTGCTTCAATAGTTGAGATTATTCTTCACCAAGAAACTAAAGGAAGTTTAGAAAGCATACCATCTAGGCTGGGATTTTGGAGGCAGTGGTATGCAAGGAGCAGTCGCACGTATGAAAAGGAAGAAAATAACCCAAACAAAAGGGAGATGTTATACAGTCAAATCAATAGAATTTTACACGTTTTGTACACAAAATCAAAGAAACAAAAATGTTGTAATTGATCCTGGCCTTTTTACTCATATTATTCACAAAAATGATCCTGAGGTAACTACTTTGAATACAACAAAACTGGCCTTCTTCCTATAATGTACACAAACTAATATAATAAGATAATAACACTACAAAAATAGAGGGCAAGATGAACCTATTTGAACCTCAAATAAACAAGGACGTAAGAGTACGACTTGGTACTGTATTTTATCAAAAAAACAGATGTTTATGTGTATCAACAGCCTGTGATAACCTTTTCTAATGTCAGTTCCTTTGCAATGAGTTTGAGCAAAACTTGTACCAGCTCTCTCACTCTGGCTTCCCTGCCATCCAAAAGGATTGGTGTTTGGTTTAGTAATTAGAATTACGAACAAAGAAAATTGTTAAATGGAGAAGTAAGATTGATCGCAAGTAATGGCTCTGTGTTCCATTGAAAATGCTGTAATTTGAAGCAGCATCAAAATTTTGCATAAATATACTATTACGCACCTTGATGTAATAAGTTCACAGAAGGAGGGAAAAAGAACAAGCAGATGTGGTCGCTTGTCAAGTTTCCCTTCTGCTAGGCCATATTTCAAATGTGGATGTAGAGGAAGTACAGATGCAGTGTCTAAGTGAATCACCAGACAAGCCAGTTCCTGAAGGACAAATATTACTTCTTCAAGTCTTGCTGTTGGTAGAGGATGATCACCTGTAGGTAAGTCGATCAAAGTTTAGGAGTTCATACTCTGGGGCAGTAAGTGTACGTAAGCAAAACAATTTAATATTTGACAATTTGTTTACAAAGGGAACATACTTACCTATGTCCTTTTCATCAACTAAAAATCTATTCAAGATGTATTCACATCTTGTCACAAGTACCATGATCGCAATTTTGCTGACCTCAGATCTTGCCACGTTCCAATTACCCACTTCTTCATCAAAACTAGGAGAATGTTGACAAAAGATCAAAACATTTGAATAGAGACAATATAGTTTATAGTTTCCTAGAGATGATAAAAAGGATGTCTTAATGTACAACATGAAAGGCTACAATTCATTCCAGCGGTAAGGGGATGCTCAGAGGGAGGATAGAAATGTGATGATGTTCTTGTTACCAGATAAATGAAATATAAAATGTTCTAGGAAAGCCAGACATATGGACATTTTTCTCTTTTGACAAAAACCATTTAAATACAATTGGGCTTTCTATAGGAAAAGTCTGCATGTATTGTATGCCATTTTTCCTATGAGATTGTGATCAGGTTTTATAAACTCAGGCATAAAGTACAGAAGTTATCCTAGCTGTATGGAAGAAAATATATTAGCAGTATCAATTACATATTTGGAACTAAATTGTCTTTTGTTACCTGCTCAGGGAAAATAATGTCTGTAAGCATGTCAAGGAAAATCTACTACAGTGCAAAGGCATAAGTTCCACAGTCTCAACAGGCAAAGAGCATGTGCGTGAGGCACAACGATCCAAGGTGGAAACGAGTCGTTGCAGAATCTGAGAACATAAACAAAATAATTAGGAAAGTGATGAAATGAACCATGCTTGCTCTGAGCCTCAAAGTAACGCATCATAGCTATCTTTATTCGAAAAGAAAAACTGATTTAAGTGGTGCCAAGCAAATCAAAACATGGGACTACCAGAACCTGCTAAAGCTAACAATATTTTAGATAAGGAGATTGCTTACCTCGATAGGGGCATCAATTGGTGACATAAGAATCTTCTCACCCAGAATGTTTAGTATGGTCATCTCAAGGGACTCATCATCCTTCAGTGTGACAGCTGGGAGGGAATTGGAAGGAAGAGCGCGTCCACAATAACCCACAAGGAATATTTCGTAGATATCTGCAACTTCTTTCCATATACGCAATCTTGCAGGCTTACTAATTTTTGAATCACACTCCACAGCTAATTTGCTGACATCATCGACAAGAATGCGATTGAAGCCTTCAACAGCTAACCTCCAAAGTGAACCATCTGGATTGTCTCTTCTTGTTGTCATTGACCTAACAAAACGAATCTTTATTGAAAAAGCTAAAAGATATTACTTCAGTACCTATATATAAAAAAAGAAATAGATATAAAGGGCTGTCCTAGCTGTTTCTGTAGTTACCCAACATCAGATTCTATTAATTAAGCAGATGCAACATTTATTAATTTCCCCTTTCAAACTAAAAAACCTAGTAATATAGAATATACATTAGTTAAAACCACAACCATTTCAGACAGGTAAATGGGCAGTGCAGCTGCAGTAGAACATATTATGCGTCAGATAATAAAGTATCATATACCTCCCAAGGCTTTGGAGAACTTCTGGAAAAATTATATACTTTTCGACGGCTGGAGCTTTTAGCATGAGATCTACCACAATAGGAATAAGCTTTTCTGCAAATAAATAACTGGGGATATTAACTGTTGCACCAGGAGCAGATCTGGAGGTTGGAGACGGAACTTCAGCCTTTTGGACAGAGGCAGAAGCAATACCATTGGCTGTCTCATACTTCATTTTCACAGGAACATCTGCAGAAATAATACACATTCCAAACTTCTTGTTTATCAAGGAATAGGCAAGAGTTCTGATCAACTGCAATGAAGCCTCTTTTATACCTGGAATATGGCCACTAGGGCTGGCTTGTCCTGCCTCCTCTTCTTCACTCTGTGGAGGAGAATCCGGACCTGGAAGATATTGTAAGAGTTCTCGCAGAAGGATGAGCCACATTGAAGAAAGGTGCTCAGCTGGACATAACATTGGCAAGACTTCCAGCACAGTACGCAGCACATGCGGAACATGTCCCTGCAGAAGGGCAGCATAAATTCATCCACACAAAAGCTCAAACGAATGCATGAGTTCTATAAGTTCACAGCAGCTTTTGGTTCTGTATTAGAATAACTATTATCAATTTATCATTATCCTTATGGTGATTATTATTTGGCTTGGCATATAAAGTGAGCCATGAGATATGGCCAGCTATCTTCCCTCGATTCTTATAGGCAAGGCAATGCCAATTAGGCTCAAAGGCCAGTGGCAAGTTGCAAACACAACGACCATAGTCATCATTATGATAAATTCAGTGCCAGAGCCAGTCGTCAAAAGAAAACAAAAACATGTAAACATTCATAATTTTTCAACAAGACATGGAAATTTACAACAAGGATTACTCAAACAACTTAGGAACCCAGGCCAGCCCATAAAAAATCAAGGTTAAATGCAACTTAGATCTTGGCTGATGTTGGCAAAGAGGAGGAAAGGGAAATTTTGGCTGCTTTCACTCACAGTAAGTGCACATTATTGATGATCTTTGCTACATCTAGTTGTTGATTTGACATTTCAAACTCCTCTCTTCTTTTCAAGAACCTTATGAGCTACTGAACAGTATAACCAGCTTTGTCCATAAAGAAGAAAAAGCAGATGTTACATTTTTTCTAGACTGGGTTTAATTTAATTTAAATTTAAAAATTCCACGGGTCAAGAAAAAATGGACAGAAAATAGAGAACAAAAACCACAATATAACATAAAAAAGAAGGGGAGAAAAAGGCCAAAGGAAAAAACTTACAAACTCAGCTTCACAGTTATCACTAGTTGTCACAGTCTGCTTGATTTCCAAACCAATGATTGCAAGCAACCGTGTGTACATGAGATCGTCAAACATCCTTTGTGCTTGCACATACAGTTCTCCTATCAAGTTTTAAGAAATCAGAAAGGCGTAAGCATATCGAAAACATGGTTCCTTGTTTGGAGCTCAAAATATTGTATCAATTGTCAGTGTCATATCAATCAAATTATTCACTGACTAGGTGACATGAATTGTGTAATTGACATGGAAAATTTATTCATGCAATTTTCTTTCTTTGGTAAATAAATTCAACTGAGATAAAAGTATAAAGACAATGCATTACCAAGACCGTGCAAAACCTCCTGCTTCACCTTGTTAGTTGCAGTACCGCTGTAGTTTGGTGATTTTTGAAGAACAATTTCATACACATCAATTACTGAAACAAGGTAAGGCATTGGCAAGTTACCCTGACAAGAAAAAAATTCACTTTGTGGCATAAGTGAGTATTATAACAGGGTTTTAAAGGGATTAAATGAAATTAGCTAACTTCCAAAAATTTTAAAATGCTCACCTTGCTGCAATGGCCGAGCACAGTTGTCTGTAAACAATTTATTGCTGCAAGAGAAACCTCTTTACTACCATTGAAAATGCTACCTTTTACAAAGAGAAGCAAAGATTCCCATCCTGCAGAAATAAGTGACATTTCTAGGAAATCTTAGCAAAAACAGATCTGGAAAGAATTCTAAATTGTAGACACATTTAAGGAATCTAATTATAGCCATACCTGACCAGAAATTGTTTAAGCTACTGAGGAAAGGAAAGAAAGAGCGTAACAAACGAGCTATTCCACCAAGGACTAGTACAAGTGTCTCATCCCATTGTTTCTGAGCTGTGTTCCGACTGCATTTATCTTGAAGTATTAGAATGTTCATATAGCAAGGGAAAGGACTGTTTGACATTAAGATGAAAGAATGTAAATATGCAGCCAAAATTCTTAATATTACCTATGATGAATAAGCATGTGAACTGCTTTTCCTCCTCGAATTCCAAGTTCTTTCCCTTGCCATTCATCCTTTGATGAAGTTGCTGCCTGCAA